GGGGGGGGGGAGCGTTTCGGGAGAGTATTGACGCAGAAAATATGGTGGCCGGCGCGAACGAACCGATTACGATTTATCGTCGCGGGACGTGCTTCGCGTTTTTAACGAGTGCTACAATTTCTCCTCGTAACGCCCCTACGCTATTGCCGCGTTTCGATCAATTGTTTACTTCAGAGCTTTTACCGAAATGATCCGTTTCGCCAAATTCAAACACGTTTCTCGCCTTTGACGGCCGTCAAGATCGAGTCCACCCCCCCCCCACCATCCAATAGCTAGGAGGGAAACGATCCGAAAATAGAAAGTCAAAGGTGTATCGTGTATTTCGACTTGGACGTTCGGTCGGAACGAATAAATAAAATAAAAACAAAACCTGTACGGTGAATCGTGACAATTGGAAGCCCGTGAAAACGATTTTCGGGGGGCGTGTGTCGGAATGTCGTGTACCACCGGTGTTGGTGTACGAACGCACACGAATGTGGTAGTGCTGTGTCGTAAAACAACTGGTAATAGTTTACACACACACCGGCGATCGAGACGAATGTAATTTTTTTAAGTCGGGTACCGAATGTCGGGTGTCCCGGAAACAATCTCACCGGGGTTTCTTCGCGTCTACCGCGTGGGGCGGGGGGTGCAGTACGAGTAACCGGCGGCCAAAGGGTGGCGGAGGTTAAAAATAAAAATTCAAAATTTATAACGTCCATGTCGTATTACCGTCACTAGTGTTGGCACTGTGGCAGCAGCAGCAGTTTGTAACATTAACACCCGCCGCCGCCTTAACCACACAAGGTGTACACACACACACACACACACACCAATTGTAATAATCATACGTGTTGTTCGTACGCGCGCACGTATTATATGTAAACGAATATGAACCGGTTTGTGTTTATTATTATTATTATGTTTATCGTGTGCGCGCGTTGGATTTTGTCAAGCGGTAATAATATTTGCGCGTGTAAAGTGTCCGTATTCGGTTTGGTAATAATATCGGTGCGTGTGCGTTGGGAACAGGGCCACACACTGAGACACGGGGTGCCAACTCGGGGTTATTTATGACCGCGTTCGTCGCATTCCGACGTCTCGGCGTCCAGTACACCGTCACCCCGCAGCCGTCGCCGAGGTGTGAGAACACACGCCGCCGGCTACCGTCTTCCGTCGAGACGACTACCGGGCGCAACGTCTCTAACCCTTTAATATATATATTTTTTTATTTCCGCAAAAAAAAGTGGGCAATAGGTTTATCTGTTGGTGGAGATTAATCACGTTGTCGTGTTGATTTCGGGAATTTTCACATTAGAATTTTTCGCAGCGTAGTCGGTGGCGGCGGTCGTATTTCGATTAATTAACTGAGATTCAATAACGAAAAACGGGAAGAGTGTGTAGAGGACTCGGGCCGAACGTGTGACGTTCGACCGGAACCGCGCCAGCTGTGGGAAGTCGGAGAAGTACGTTTCTCGATGGGCCGTACGAGAGACTATTAATTTCATTCACCGTGTACATAATACACACACACTAATGATACAGCGATAATGTATAATAATAGGTTATTTCTTTTAGCGGTACTAATTTTGCAGACGAATGCGTGTGGGTGCTGGGCTAGATAATGGACAGCGATAGGATCACACGGTGTCGTAGATTAACGCCGGTCAATAATAGAACGCGTCGATGTGTGTGTGTGGAAGGCGGCAAAACCGCGTCTACGAATTGACCGACCGGACGGTGTGTAATTATCGACTACGCGATTACAATTATATTTGAATGTTCGCCAGATTTATGATCCGTTTCGTGGTTACCGGAGCTCGCGTCTTATCCGTTTCTCGGATCAGACACGACGCGCAAACAACACACACACACTGCCATCGGTGTGTTTTTTATCGCGATGCCCTGCCACGTTACGACGTCTCTTCTCGACCACCGCGACGATGACGGGGGCGGGGACCCCCTTCAGAATATTTTTCGACGCTTCGTCTGACGGTAAGCGCGTGCATTTTTTTCGCGAACGAATAACGCGCATCGTTTCGATCTTATTCGGTTCCCTATCGATTCGGTTCTTTGTCGCGCGCGCGTATTCTGGTTCTCTATTGATCGCGTTCGACGTTTTATCCAGCGATAGAGTGGAGTGTTATAACGCGCGCGCACGCTAGACGAGAAAGAATAATAGTTCTACATATTCTTTCTCGTCGAACGCGATTTGTGCTGAAAGATTTCTCCCCTTATGACACACCACGTAAAATCAACAAATATATTTTTCTAGTCTCTCGACGGCGTCGGAGTCCCGCGGGGAAATTCACTGCGGCCCGTGTATACTTTGCACGAAGTTTATTCGCGTTTAATTTACCGTCTCGGGCAATGCGAAAGGCGCGTGTGTGTGTTTTTTTTTATTTTTCTAGGCAATCCACCAGAATACGTTCGAGATTTTTGTTCGGCCGAGAGGCGACGCGCGATAAATAACGATCGGTCGCCCGTAACGCCGGCACACCGCTAATTATCATATTAATAACTGGGCGCGCACACACACACGGTGTGTACTCGAGTGTGGCGTATACGAGAGAGCGTCTGGTATAATTGCCGTACGGCAGTATTCGTGCGCCATTAGCCGAGTGTGTGCTTAATAGTTAGTGTGTGTGGGACAAGAGGCTACCGCGGGACGAATGACATTACGAAACGTTTAGTGCGAGTTATTATTTTTCTACACTCCATCAAATTATGATCGTCGACCGAAATTCGTTAGTAATTGCCCGACGTGTAGGTGGAGCGCAAACTTCAACTGCGACGTTCTCTGGCCCGTAATTTGCACCGATTAAACTCGCCTTTGGACTGTCGCGCGCGAAATCATCACACCTTTGTGTGTCGCGTGTACGGCGGAGTGAGTGCCGTAGAGTTTTATGATATTTTACTATCAACTATTGTTTTACGATTTACGCACTGTTGTTGTCAACAACAATATAAGTCGCGCCAAAGAGTTATTGTGTCGTCGTAACGCATATCTTTTTGTTTAATTTACCACCGTCACCCGTCGGTCGGACGACGGTTTTCGTCGAACCGTATGAAATAAGACCAGTTTTTCGGTCTGGGGGATCGGCACTTCCCCGTTTGATTTTTAATTCTTTCTATTATTATTGTTTTAGCCAATTATCGCTTTCGCCACTCCAACGGGTTCTCGTTCCGCGCGAGAAACGTTATAATCGACGATAATACCCAATTTAATGGACACTATTAAATTGGGTGTTATATATTAATATGTTATAATTTCGGCACGTAAAAAAGTCTGAACGATAATTTTTTCAGGCGACAAAAGTAAATAAAATGAAAGCAAAAACAATAAAAATAGTTGATCGGTTCGGAATTTTATTTTCGCACAAAGGAGACGCTGCGATTGTATTTCTCCGTTTCTCGTCGACTTAAAATCGACTATTAGCCGAAACGCGGAGCAGCTCTTTCTCCTGCTCCTAATTACACCTGTTGTACATCCCCTTACGAGGTCCGCGTAACGACAATAATTATGTCCGTGTGTGTTTATTATGTACACGCGCCAACCCGTTGGATCAGTCTAGGCGTTTTTTTCTCGTCGGTGAAGCGTCCACACATTTCACAGTACAAGTGCACGCGCGCGAGACGGAAGCGGTGTCTCTATAATGTAGTATTATGTGCACTTTGCAATTATTATGATAACACGTATGACCGTCGCAAGAAATGCACCGAATATTACCCAACCCGTACGTAGACACCGTCTAGCACGCCGAGTTTCTAGTGTGATAACGCTAGACACTCGGCATTTTCCATAAAACCGCAACACGACCGTCTCAAATTCATAAAGCGACGGTCGACCGACTCCGGATCCTCTGCTGCAAACGAGCGTGCAAAGCCCAGCTAGCTGACCGCCATGTCGCGGACAGACCTATGCGGCCGACGGCCGCGGTAGACGCCCGGCCGTCTGGTCGGCGTACACCGGAAACGCGGCCGTGCGCCGCCCGTTCAATAGCGGGGTCCGAAAGATGTTAATTAAGATTTTACACGGCCGATAACGTCGGCGTCATCATCCCCCGGCAGCATCCAACCGGTAAAACGTAATTTATACACGCGTCGTACATATATATGTATATCTATAAAGAGTTACATTGCGGCGAAACACACACACACACACACGAAACAATGTGTAAACGACACGGCGGCACAATCGTGTGCGACGATAATTTATGGGAAAGCGAACGATAAAACAAAACGCGTTGCAGCAACAACAGCATCGGTTATTACGATATAGGTAGCTATTATTATTATTGTTTGTGCCATGGCGGCTATTAATAACCAATCAATGCTTGGGCACCTCGCCCTGTAATTTAAACTGCCGCCGCCGTCGCCTTCTTTTTCCCATGCGCGGCGGCTTCATTAATTATCACACACACGGCCACTACCGCAAACGCTACGGCACAACATTAGCGTCGCCGTACACACTCATTCATTCATTTATACGTGTGTACGTTTTTTATGTACCGACGCGTTAAAGTAATAACCGCACGAACGTCGTGTACACACGGCCCGACAAAAACCGCAAATCGACTTCATCGTCGGACGAGAAACGCGCAACGACCGCCGTGTTTTCAACAGCTCAAAAAACGGCGCCCTAGCGATTCACCGTTGTGCTCTCGGCTTTTTTAATCTTCTTCTCGCACTCGGCTTTCGCATGTCCAACCCGACCGACCGCCGTCGTTTAATTCGTTTCATTCTCCTCCGCCGACAACAGAATTTCACTCTTGAAACGTATCGGTCGGGCCGCGTATGTGACCGAGCTAATTATCTTCCGCACGAACGTCTTGCGAATTCCGAGTTTGTGGAAATTACCTTTTTTACGGGTGGGCCGCCCGAACGCGAGTCCGAGTCGGCGGCGACAGAAAAATATTTGACGGTCGTCCGCCGAGTTTACGGGGATCGTTCTTAGAATCGGCACGAAATTATAACGCGACTGCGGTGGCCGACGTTTATTGGCAAATCCTCAGGTTTGGTTTAAAAAAGTACGAGGCGTCGCGGCTATTTCCGAAAGGATTTTTACGACGACGACGACGCAGTTTATTTCGCCGCTCGTTTTATTATTGCAAAGTCTGTCGTGCGAAGTACACGCACAATGTGTTTGCACACAGTCAATACCGCAGGAATTCTTTTGGCCGGCCCGACATCAATCCAATTAGACGGGCGTCGAGTGAATTAATATTCTCTGGCATTCGCGCGTGTAATAATAATCGCACTCGATATTAACGACCCAATATTATTATTACACAGTTATTGTTTTTGCTGTGTCGGTCTCGCCGAAAACGTGATTTCAATTTGGTTTGTGCGCAATATATCTAAAAAGCAGTCGATATTACTTATTAGTGGTTGTAGGGGAGCGGTTGGTGGTGGCGGACGAGACGATTTCGCTACCATTCTAACGCGTGGCTGGCGGTGTACAGTATTTCTGCTGCTCTGGTCCGCCTATAAAATTTTGCGTTGCCCCAGTCTCTCTAGTAGCGTGTTATTTTTCTGGTCTTTGCGTACCACAATGTTTTTAGTTCTCTGACGTGTCTCTCGGTGCTGTGTCGGTTACCCCGTCGCTAAAAGCCGAGAAATCATCAGCGGTAACTCAATATAATATCCTGTTTATCGTGTCCGGTCGGGTCGCGATCGGTTTTTTGGAGCCGACGACGCCATTGCGCTTACGTTGTCGTCGCGCCGTATTAGTCCGAGCCACAGATCGCGTTACTCCTTTGCACGGTTTTTTCAGATTAGTGTAGATTAAAAAAATAAAAATGAATGTATATGAAACGCAAAGAGGAAGATATTACTCGCGGACCGTGTCGTGTTATTATCGTTTTGTGGTACTCTCGCGCGTAGCGGCCAAGATGAAAGCAATATGAGGAGGAATTCAATACCGTTTATAATTCCGACGCGCGGTATTAATGACGACCTATCGATAGGCGTTGTTTGCCCTGTAATTATCGTTTCCGAACCGGCTGTGGGACGGCCCGGGTCCTAAATCACAGGTGTTCGGGCAACGAGCAACGCGCGTCCGCCGTCCGCCACCGAAACACACTTTACCTTCTCCTCGCAGCCTCCCACATGAAAAAAAAAAAAAAACTCGACACGACGCATACAAAAATCATTTCGCCAGTGAGAGATGAAATTATAATAAAAGGTGAGGTTCACCGTCGGCCACCTCTACCGCGTCACGATCAGACTTGGCCACTCCGAGGGATTCGCGTGAAACCCTTTTGGGTGAATAGCTGCACAAGAACGCGGCTCGTATGCCGTCCCGTCCCCGCTAATCTTCCGCGCGTGGTGTATGCAAACGCAGTTATGGCTACCGGAAACGTACTTGTGCGCGTTCCCCCTTGCCGGCGGGCCACACCCAGCGCCGGTATTCACGACACGGCAACGGTGCCGCTCTCTCTCATTCCCCCGCTCCACAATGCATTCGTATTTATTATAATTAGGCCACCCTGAGCGCCGCCGCAACACCTCGGCAACCGACATCAACGGCCATTATTTAACGTCACTTTATGTGCGTGCTCGTGTCACTATAAAAGACTTTTTTTATAGTATTTTTTTTCGACGGTCCTTCCCCGTCCCTCTCTTTCTACCCAACTCGAATGATCACTCGTCAAAGTCGCGTCTCGGACGTCGACAACGTCGCGGGTGTTGTTGAGCGGTCGCTGCGCGTACAGACGAGACGCAGTCACCGCGGCAATGAGGTAGCCGGCTACGCGTATTGTGTGACGGTCGCCGGGACATGGCCGAAATAAATAATTGAAATCCATTACCGCGCGGACACCCCCCGTCATGACGACTACACTCAAATAAGAGTTACGTCGCGTTTGTAAAACGATCGTGAGACGCTCACGCAAAGTCGAGTATCGGATGATGTGGGGAGGGGGAGGGACCGACGGAATGGAGGAGGATACGATCGAGAGCATACGCGGTGGTAGTCGACGACCGCGCGGGACGTGTGCCCTGCGGTGGCTATCCCGGCGGGTGTCGGTCGCGTCTTTGTTTATTGTACGCGTCGTATTAAGTCGAGTGTCGTCGACCGCTCGTTTACACCGTTGCGCGTGGGACACTCGGTGTATGCTCTGGCCAATCCGGCCGTTGATCGTGTGCGTAGTTGCCAGAAATCACGAGAAAAGACAATGGCGGGAGACGAGTGGTGGGGTAGTTTTGTAGCATTTTTAGCGACTAAAAAAAAAAAATCTAGAAAAAACCACTTATCGCAACCGTAATTCACACATTTGTCTTTCGACCGTAATAAAATAGTGTTGGTAGACACTTGAATATAATAACTTACAATTCTCAATGGGGTGTGTTGCATAAATAATATTTCCTGTGTACACGTTTTTTTAATAAATATCTTATTTGTCTATACATATTTATATTATTATAATTATTATTATTTGTTTTTTTATATTATTTCTGTGCTGTTGTAACTTTTTTTTCTAAATATCGACTGTTCAACTGTTACAGATCACCAAGCTGAAAATCGACAGCAATCCTTTTGCCAAAGGTTTTCGAGACTCGTCGAGGCTGACCGAATTCGAAAGGTAATCATACAATCGAGCAAATTAATCCATTGAATTTTTGCGTCGTCACATTATTAGAAGTAATATTCGAGCTATTCGTATATAACGAATTCGACTAGAACAATAACGTGCTATATATTTTTCAATTGTTGTGTATTTGTTATAAATATTTATTATTCCTGGGTTTCGATTCGTGTATACCTTTTTTTTGGAAACCTCCTAGTTTAAGTATAATTGGTGACGTACAGACCCCCCTCTTGTTCGTATACTCTAGATCAAAAAGCTTTTTGTTTGGATTGACACTTCGGTGATCCTCATAGACGGACTATAAAAGTAAACAAAAAAAAAAGAACGATATGAACACCGCGTATTATTTATGTTTTTTATCGTACGCATTCAAATCGTAGTGATGTTATACTCGGCGGTGAAATAGCTCGAATTTTATTAATATCGCAGGTTTTTTTTTCGTCTAACTCTTGTTTTTTTTTTTTGTATTTGCAGAGAAACTATGGAGTCTATGTTGGGCGACCATCACACGTTGATGAGGACGCCGTCCATGATGGATCCTTCGGTCGGCTTGAGTCAGCTGACCGCTGAAGAACGCGCTGTACTGGCCGCCCGGTCACAACTGTTTCTCCGAGCGGCCGCAGCCGCGGCCGCCGCGTCCAGTCCTTACGGCCCGCTGTGCGGCATATACAACGCGGCGGCCGCCGCGGCCACTTCTGCCGGCGGTGCTCATCACCTGTGGAACCAATGGGCTTCGTTGGGCCCGGCAATGTACCAGCAGCTGACCGCCGCAGCCGCCGGACCGGCCGGTTCCCCTTACCACCACCACCATCACCAGTACTCTCATCAGGCGCAAGGCGGCGGGAGCAGCCCTAACGGATTCAGGTTTTCGCCTTACTCGGTGCCTCCTACGGCCGCGGCGGCTATCGGCAATTCGTCTCCGCCGTTATCGTCGCCCGACACCGGAGCTTCGTCGTCCGACCGCTCGCCCAACAGTCCCGGAACGTCGTCGCCGCCAAAGTCGTAGCGCTGCTGCTATTGAGCGGAACGCTTTTCGTAGGCACCGGTCGGTTGTTTTTTAGGCGCGCAATACATCGTCGTACGTTTTTTCTCAATACGTCGTAACACAAAGATCAACTTTTACAAAGGCGATTTTCATCATTCCTGACCGACTTCTTTTCGGTTTCTCGTTTAGTTTCCAGTCGATATGTTTTTCTCTATAAATTTCAGGTGCCCGAAAATATCACCAAGTCTATGTGGTGTGTAATTACTTACAACGCTCAGCAGTCGCTCATCGCGATGTTATTAATCGTGCTCCGACTTTTTTCGACTCCCTTTTAGCCTTTAACCCCAAAGAAGTTTTCACTCGCGCGTATTAAATATAAATTGTTCGTTGCGAGTATATATACTTGACATTAATATTTTGTATTATACGTTGACTTTAGACCGAATATAAATAAATGAAAATCATTGTAAATTATATATTATTATTTAATTGTAATTATCTACGACTTGTAATGTAAATATATTTTAATATAGTTAAATTATTGTTTACGGTGACGATTTTGTTTTATGCAATATCAACGAAGCCCCATCAATGTTATCGACATTTGAACAGAGCTGTCTTTTATGTAAAAAAAGTCTTTGGTGTAATTTTTTAATCTAAAAGGGATAAATAGAAAAATATTAATATTATCGATTATATATATAAACACCAGCATAATCGGGGCAAATATAGATAGATATCTAACAGTGATTGAGAAAAAACGATTGTCAAAAACATTTCTAGGTGAATATTCATTTGCGGTCGCTTTTGTCGCATGTTTTTGGTCGGGAAATTACCACGACGATCGACAAACGAAAATCAACGTCGGGAACACAACAATAAACACTCGGATGATTTTTTAAAAAAATGATACACGACAAATAAAAATGTTTATGCCGTGTACAATGTATTTTGTTTTCTATCGAATACAATTTTTGAATTTCAAACGACAAATCGTATCGTTAAAACATTGTAAATTTTGTATTTATGTAAATGTCAGGTATTTATATAAATGCATGACGTTCAACAATAAAACGTCGCAGTAGCATAAAACTAGAAAAATAAAAATTATGTTATAAATAATATTTTAATAGGGGTAAGGGACCGAATTCCAGATTTGCCGTTCTTATGAACGCCAAGATGTATAATGTTAAATGCGCTTGCAAAATAGAATGTATTTTCTCCTCTGTGTTTGAAAAATTTAATAAAAAATTTGTAATAAATACTCAACATGATTACATATCTGATGCTGTACAAGAAAATACAATTTTAATAGTGTTATCGAAGAAATCAAACCAAGTTAATCTTGATATTCGTATAGAGTTATATAAAATAGTCTGAGGAGGCAGTTAAATATTCGAAAATTTAGAAAAAACCGTTATAGAGGTAGACATTTACAACAAATAGTCGACGGTAATTTTTCAAATTCCTAGTCGATCGATAGGGGAGTATGTTTTACTTTTATAATGTGTGCTTTTATCATGTATTTTTTTTAAGAGATTATGAATTCTCAGTATTGCATAGTGTGAAGGTCATATACAGCAGCCGCAGTTGGCTGCAATATGACGTTAACACGGCGAGTCTCGGCGACCGAGTTTAATTACCACCATAAAGCCACATATGATAAAAACTTGTTTTGGTGGTTAAAAAATTTTTTTTTAAACATTTGATAATGGTGCGTTATGACGAGAAAAATAATATTTATATAGTCAATAGCTACTATTTTTTTTTTAAATTGTCTTCATAGATTTTACATCTGCTAAATCAAAGTATTGGTGTCGGAATCGGTTTTGTAAAAGTACAGTGTTTTTAATGAAATAATAAAATGCACGATAGAAATTTGTGAGCTGATGAATTTGCAAAAAGTTTTTACTTATTTTTCATTAACATGCTGATAATATCGAGATACTATCTTTATTATTAAAACGTGTTAATTAAAAATAGGAAAAATACATACGGAATCGTATTGTTAATCACAAATATTGTGCATTGTTTAAATTTAAAGTCAACTATTCAGAACTACTTTAAATCACGAATGATTTATTTCTCAAAGTATAAAATTAAAAAGAGGGTTATTTTAATCGTGAACAGATAAATTAATTCAGTACCAACTGAGACTTTGTTGCAATTTCATGATTAAATTATTATTTACTCCATTAACGGACTCGATGGTTTTCATATTTTAGTTTATATTTCATTTTATTTTCACATTACATATTGCCTTACATTAATAAGACCGACAGCGAAAATTTTATAATGCTAATAGTTATTACTTTTTGTTGACTATAAAAAATTATTTGTTGAATAATTGTTTTTTTTTCAATGTTCTTATTTAATGTTCTTTTTCTCTCATATGATAAATAAAGTTTTATAAATGAAAAGTAGTACTACTAGAGTTTAGCTTAATTAAATGAAAATTTCGGTCAGCTTATTAATTTGGCATATTAAGCCAGTATATATATATGAATATATATACATTATTATAAATATAATTTTTTAATTTAACAATGGTATAGAAATATAAATAATTAAAGCCAACCCAAAAAGACAAAACAGTTCCCATTTATATCAAATCTAACAAAAAAAAAAAAATTGCTTGATACATTACAAATTTACAATGAAGAATTAAAAATTATAAACAAAAACGCTACTAATAATGAATTTACAATTAATACTATTAATAAAATACACTTAGGAATTAAAAAAAATGTTCAAAATAAAAATCCTTCTAGTTATTGTTGTATAAATTACGATAATTTTTTGACTCAAAAATATGGCTAAATAATAATAACGTTAAAATTGCATATAAAATACATAATAATTTAGTTAAAACGATTAACAGCAAAATTAATGGAACACCAACTCTTACTAATTACGATGGTCAAACTACAATGTAGTTGCAATAAATTTCTCACGAGGAAAAAAATTGAAATTTTTAGAACTCGATATAATGAAATAAAACAAAGGAAAACTTACCCCAAATTAAATTTTGCTATACCGTACTAGATAATATTCATCACGACATCAAAGATGATCTGTTAATTTTATAAAATGACAACAATAAATATATCAATATAATCCTGAAGAATTACGTGAACACATTGGAAGTAAAATAAAATATTTTCAACAGCATATTACATAAGAAAACAGATTTAAAAAACAACATAAATTATTATTATAATATATTCTTAACAATTCTAATCTATCTTAACATTTTTATCGAACTGAACATAAATACAGCTTTAAATAATTTCCACTAGCCATTATTTTAGTCAAAGTATCCACATATTTTTATAATTATCATTATCAACACCAATTTTACATTTTTTTTAAATGTATTTTGAATAGCATGAATTATTGTTTGTTTTTGTAATCGTTAATGTGTGTACTTGGTGTTTTTTTTTTATATTGTTGTTTATTTATTATTTTATTAAGCAACCTGATGATGGCCTAAGGATGAAACTATAGAAGTTACTTTTTTATTTTTACAATATTCTTGGCTTTAATTTTTTATATTTATATACCATTCTTCATATAACAATTTATATTTATATTATTATAATTTAGTATTAAATTAATTAAATGTACATATATAACATGATATAATAATCTGAATAATTTTATTTTATATAAAACGGTTATACTTTGAACTGTACCAAAATTTTTTTTCATTATTCATTATATTAATTATTGTAATACAACAAACTAAAAAAAAAACCAGTAAAGTAAAATTAATACCTTCACAGCTTTTCATCAAAGATAAATTTATATACCATTTTTTAAACAATTTTTTTAATGCTAATTTCAAATTATTAGATTTTATTTATATTAATTTATTAAGATGGATTTATGCCCCATAACATCATCAATATTCCATTAGGTTATATTAGTAATTGGAACTATATCATAAAATGGATTTCATACAATATCATATGTCTGGTGTTGGATATACATTGTTTAACCAATACAGACATAAAATTTTATTGAATATCGTATGAATCATAAACTCAGTTTATACATTTTTGACTCGAGTTTTAACAAAGCACCGCAGAAATAACACTTAATTTAAAAACAATCCATTATTATCTAAAAATAGCAATCGTTCGAATTAAAAGCAAATCTAAATAGTAATTAATTCACTTTTCAGTTTTGCACTTTTGTCTTTTTTTTTAAGTATTATTTTATTTTTGATTTATAGTAAGATTTAGAGTACAGGCTTAATTTTTTTAATAGCAACATACATATTTAGTTAGTTCATACAACAGAAAAGGATACAACTGAAAAACGATTTGTCGATAAAAACTTTTGAATCAGTATTTTGAAAGTTATAACATTTTTAAATGTTGACAGGAGGTGTTGGAGTCATGATATTTTTATCATTATACTTTTCTGTGTCGTGCTACTTCTAACTAGAAGTGGCCTGGGGAAAAATTCAGGGCACATTTTTTTAATATCGTTTAACATTATCTAGATTTATCGATAGGCACATAAAATAAAAATACTTGGTATATACAAAATATGTTAACTTATAGGATTTAGAACCTTATGCGTTATTAACAAGTCATTTTATTTTTGTAAATTTATTCCTATAATAGTAATTTAACTTCTCAGTATACTGGTATTTTAAATTGTTATTTAAATAACTATTACGTTTATTTATTGTTATATAATAGTTATAATAGTTTCTATTTAAAATGCATAATTCAAAATACTATTATTTTCAACGGACTATATTTAAAATATTCGATATTTCAAAAAGATTGTATATTCAAGTGTACTTTCAGTAGAATTTTTTTTGGAGAATTTTCGTATCACAAGTTATTTTCGTTGAAAAATCCTGATAATTGTCAATACAATATATAATACATATAAATTGATAATAGTTGTATTACTTACCTGAACTGGTGTCTGATCTAAGAAAAACATTTTTTTTGCAAATTTTCAACCAATCTCCAATAGTTTTTATCGCTTTTCGCGAGTTGACCTTCCTTCTCTTTTGGTAGTATTTAATTTTATTTACTATATCATATTAACAATGCCAAAAAATTTGGCAAAATTTAATAGCGACTTGCGACGACTACAACTCAGGCATCTACAAATGAACATATTATTAATAATAAGCATCCTACTTAGACAGTCGGAAACGTAGTCGCCTAAAAAGACATAAAGAGTATTTAGCCATTTATAACTCAAGAAATAAATGCTACTAAAACAAGCAAAAAAAATTTTTAAATATTATTTTTTTAAAAGAAACGATATATTATTCATCGTGTAGTTGAATCGACTGTAAAATAGTTGACTAAATTTGAATAGTAATTCCATCTATATATTACGGTTGAGCTAACTAAATGAGTCAGTTCTTCTAATTATATATATTAACCATAACTAAAAATATTTATCGTAAACTATTAACTCTACTCAGTTTCGTATTGAAATCGAAAAAAATTATCTAAAAAAAAAAAATACGGGATCTCTTTGTGTTTTTCCAACCATTAGTTCAAATGACATT